ATTCTATAATAAAGTAGAACTAAAATATAGAGCTCTAGATAGAATTATATCTAATCGTAGATTAGTTTTTATAAATAATTTCTAATCTAGCTTATATTATCTTTTATATATAAAGTAACGCCTCTCTATAGTATTCTACCCCTAAACTAATAGGTAAACTAAGAGAATGAACTAAGTTCTAGAATATTATTTACGTTACTTTACTAATACTAAGTAAACTAACTAGCTAACTCTACTCTAAAGTATAGAATTCGCTTATAATAGCGCTATTAATTCTATAATAAAAGTCTTACCTTTTATTACTTTAATAGGATATTAACCTAGTTTTTATATATATACTAAGGTTAGCGCTAGAGAAAGGGAGGTCCTAGAAGTTAAAGTAAGAATAATAAAAATAAGAATAATATAAGAAAAGCTCGAAAAATAATAGCAAATCGCTATTAAATTACACTAAAAATAATATAATAAGAAATATATAGATATTACCTTCAAAAAAGAAGACCTTATTTCTCTCTTAATAAGAAATCTCTAACTAAAGGTTCTAGTAAAAAAGCTTACCCCTAAATTTATTAGCCTATTTAAAATCCTAGATTAAATTAGCTAGTAAGCCTATTAAATTACTCTATCTACAAAATATTATAAAATCTATAATATTTTCTATATTTCACTACTTAAACTATAGGTGAATTAGAAGTAAGAGTAAAGTAAAACTATACTATTCCTACCTCTAGAAGATAAGGATAATTAGGAAGTAGAAGAAGTTAAAGAAAAGAAGAAGATTAATAGAGAAGATTACTTTCTATTAAAATAGAAAGGTTAGCCCTTAGAATATAATTAATAGATAATAAGAGAAAATATTAATATATTAGCTCTAATTAGCAAATTCGAAAAATCAAGAAAACGCGTTTAACTCTTACTCCTACTTTAAATTAACCTCACTTTTACCTTACTTTATACTTAAATTATAACTAGCTCTAATAGGAAAGTCTCTTAAATCTCTACTACTTATAATTCTATAGGATCATCTTCCTCGCGGTTTCTAGTAGCGTTAACTTTACCTATACCCTAAATAGTATAGATAGCTTATTTAATCTCTTCTAAGAGCGTATGCTTTACTACTAGCTAGTAGATATATCCTTTATCGCCCTCTTAAAGTCATAATAAATACTTATATTAAAGACCTATTATATTATAACCTACTCTAGCTAGATAATATAAAGTAGTATCCTACCTATATTAGGCGAGATATTTCTAATAATTCGCTTTAGTGGTCTAAAAGTAAGAGATTAGTGAATCAATACTAAAATAATAGTAAATTAATATATACTAGAATTACTATCTTTTTCGCTATTAAGTTATATATAGTATAATATATTATTAAAGAAGCTTCTAAGCTCTACCCTAGATTATAAATTACTTACTTTAACCTTAAATAAAATTCATCTTCTACCTAGTCCTCCTTTAGTAGATTCTTAGCTCCTAGAGGCTCCCAGAATTTTATAGCCTATTTAATAATAAGGTTAAAATTAGCCATATCCCCTACTATTCTAGTATTAACTTACTTACACGCCTTTTTAGTAGGAGTACAATAGTCGCATAATATAGTAGTTACACCTTAATATAAATAAGATATTAAGATTAGCGTATCTAGATTAGTAAAAGCTTTAATCCTAGCTATAATATCCACTATAGACTTAACTAGAGTCTAAGTAAGTAACTAATCGCGAAAGTATTATATATACTATAACCGCGTTACTATAGTTACTTAAGTACGCTAAATTATAAGAACCATAATATAAATATAATATAGAGGTGAATTAAAAGTAAAGTAGTAACTAAGGGCAAACTAAAACTTTAAAGTTACTATATACTATATTAAATAAAGAAACACACATCATATATAACTAGAAGTTCTTTAATATATATTCCCTAAACTTCTATTAGTTTCTTATACTATTCTTTATCTAGAATTAAGGTCGATTCTATAGAAAGAGAGGGAATAGTTATTATAAAAGAAAAGATAGATACCTATTTTTCTAAGGCAGAAATCATAGGATACTTCAGAAATCCCGAAATAGTACTAAATTACTTTTAATTCAGCATCTAGATTAAGAGTAAGCTCTAGGCTTATCTAGAGCTAGTCCATAACGAAGAGATATTTAAAGTAAGATCATTATAAACCATTCATCTAGCTCTTACTTAGCTCTTACTTCCTCTATATTAAGGAAGAAGAAGAATCTCTCTCTTTTAATTCTTCGCTTCCTTAAGAATTAGTTTTAAAACCAATATAATCTATATTACCCTAGACCTCAAATCTATACCATATTAGTATTGTTTTATATTCCTTTCAGTTCCCTTTTACTATCTTCTTACCTAGCCCTTTTATTCCTTATATTTATAACTAGATAAGATTATTCCTATTAGTCTTAGAGTCCTAGTAGAATAGGTATATTTAAGGTTATTTAAGGGCGACCCTAGGCCTTATACTACTCTATATCTATAGATAGGTTATTACTTATCTTAGATAGGTTTTAAAAGGGAATTTCTAATGTTTTTTAGTTACTTAGGAGTATATTAGTACTTCCTAAGGATATAATCCTTTTATTTTAACCCCTTTTTTATTTATATAGCCTAGTTTAGGTCTAAATAGATATATTTAGACTTACCTTCTTATAATTTTATAAAATAAGGGTTTTTCTTAGATTAGGTTAGATTATTATAAGAGGGAATCTTACTAATCTTATATAACTATAGTAGATTATATATTTTTAGATATACTACTAGATATGATTTAAGTAGGATTATATACTATCTAAGGAGAACTATTAGGTTCTAACTAGATAGTACTTAGGAGGATCTAGTAGGATTTTACTAGGTGGTATAAAGACTTTACTATTATTATACTACTATAGTAGTCTTACCTATATACTATATAATCAGGAATACTAGTTTAATTAATATATATTTCTATAGAACTCCTACCTAAACTAGTTAAAATAGAGCTTTTAAGCTTATATATAAGGTTATTACCTTATAATATAGCTTATTCTTTATTTAAATTATATATATAAAGGGTAGTTAGGGCGAAGACCTAGATATATAGTTAGTAAGCTACACGTTCTATATATATATATCTCCCCTATTAGTATAGTAGATTAACCACTTTAAAAATTACTACCCTATATTATAACCAGCCATCCTAAATATAGGATAATCTAGGGTAATATAGTATAATAAGCTTATATAAAGCTATATTATATATAATTATAATAGGTAAAGTAGAATATAGGAGGAAAAGTGGTTACTATATATATCTAGACTAGAACAGACTATAATTAAAAAAAAGTCTTAGCAAAAAATATATAAAATCAGGCAGGGATAGGTAGAAATCAGGCCCAAATCAGGCCAAATCAGGCCAAATCAGGCATCTACGCTAACCTCATTTTAAATGGGCCCAAAAATGGGGGCCCATAGGCCCCTATAGGCCCGCTATGAATTTTATGGGTTAGGCTAGGCCCTAGAATTTGAAAAATAGGGGCCCATTACCGAAGCCTAGTGCTCACAACGAAAGGGGGGAGTTCACGAAGCGGTGACAGAGGCGGAGAAGAGATGGTGGTAGAAGAAAGTAGAGTTCGTTTTTGGTAAACAGTAATCTATTGTGGGGACCTTCCTAATCGGGCTAGCTTTCTTTCAATGGCGACCTGTGGCTTATGTCAGTGGCGACGTGATCTGTACCCTCCCCTCGTTTTCCTCTCTATATGGGTAATTCCGGTAATTTTGAGCTTTCTGCTAGGTAAAAACTCGGATTAATTAACCTAATTAGGTTTTGAAGCTTCTGACCACTTTGGCACGCCGTAGGCTAGCGCACAAGCGTGGATGTGAATCGCGATTTCCCGGTTTCTGTATCTGAATTTAATTCTTTAATTTCCTCGGAAAGCTACGGATGATTCAATGTCGTTCTCATTCTCTTCCCGAGTTTTCCTCAGAAGCCCAACATACCTGTTCAGCACCCCTACGAGAACACTCTCTAGCATTGCATCTTTGTCTACGTGTTGCACTGGACAAGCCGTCTTCGCCACACAGTTAAAGAAAATATCATATCCAGGCACTAAGCCAAGGCCTCAACGATTTCCCCGGGTCAGGGGGAATCACTACCTCGGCCATTTTCGTCCACATCAGCAACCATGGTCATTGAAGACTCCAAGAGAACCCCATGGCGTCGAATGTGCGACAACATGGCTGACCTCTTTGAGAGAAATTTGGAGACGGACGGGTTCCGTTACTGGGGTATCACCATGTACCGAACCACCTACAAGAGCGACGCGGACTGGGCGAAATTCCTCGATCGGTTCATGGGCAGTGTCCGCACAGAGCTGGAAAGCGACGATGGGCTCGACATGTTGGATTCCTTTCGGCCTGTTTTGATGGAAGACGCGCGCCGCTTTGACCGGGCCACGCCCGATCAAATACGGGACGCTTTCAATGAGTGGGCGAGGGTGGCTTGCGAGACGGAGCAAGGGGTGCCATACAAACGAGCAGAGCGGGCGTACTCGGCCCGATATCGGCTGTGTATCATGATTGATGAGGAGGCGTTACAGTCTGTGCTGGATATACCGACCGAGGACTTGGAAGCGTATAATACTACTGGATTTGTGATTCTGATCAATGGGAGGTGGCCCCCAGAGTGGGACCCCGAAGAGTTGGCTGCAGGAGGGGGGCCAGACGATGGACACGAGCCAGTGTACGGCTGTACGTTGGACGAGGTTGGCTGGATGAAGGTTCGATATAGTGAGGCGCAGACTGGAGCCTCCGCACGCATGACTGATGATGGGGATTGGAGCGTTGAGTATCGACGGCCACCGGCCATTGGTTTTCACTTTTGAGCGGAGACCGGTCTCAACACCCTAACCAATATTTTTCTTGGACAATAATCATGTATATTACTGATCATTCTTTACCTCTACTGTGACTTCCCTGCTATTTCTGGTCTTGGTGCAGGTCTATGAAACGCCAACACAAATGGCATAGCCAACATCCAAAAACTGACAATCTGACCCAATGACCGGATTCCACTCGTACAGCTGCGCAAATGTTATTTCGAACGCACCCTCGACCGCCGCGCACGAGTCCCCGGAAACGACCGTGTAATATTCGTTGCAATTGGAAGCGATGCCAGTCTGTGTAGGCGCACCAGCTGAGCTACTCGCCGTGGCCGTGGGACCCTTGACGCAGTAGGCATAGCCGAGCCAAAGGTTCGTACATGTTTTTCCAACTATAGTTCTGAATTAGCTTGACTCATCTCTAGTGGGGGGTTTTGATGGATGGGATCTTACTGCTGGGATTCCACTCATAGAGTTGGGCAAGAGTAACTCCAAACTCAGTCTCCATTGTCGAACAATCATCTCCCGACTCGACGGTGAAGAACTCCTGGCACCCATAGATGTATCCAGTTTGTGTTGGGGCTACCGACGTAGCAGTAGCGGTAGTACTACTAGGGGTTGTGGTGGCCGTAGTTGACGTGCTTGAACCCACCCCAATACAGACGGCACGAGTATCGGTATCGTTAAGATCAGCGTACAGATTTGTGTCACAGTCTGTGCCGAGCCAAGGGTTCCACGTAAGGAGTTGGGCTTCCGTGATATCGAAGTCTTCCTCAATATCAGCACATTGGTATTCTAGGCAAAATCAGTATCATGAAATGCGAGTGCCCTATTCCTTCACTTCTTTTGTTCGTTGTCATACATACCTCCTTTATCGTAGCCATTGACACCGGTGAAGCAGTTGCAGTTTGAGACAGTGGTAGACTCGGTGGCATTGAGGGACAAGCAGAGAGAGCCAAGTCCGCTGTCACTGCTGCTGGTGTCGTCACTGCCGGTTGCTATTTTCGCAAAAGAAAAGACGTGGCATTAGAGAAAGATCCGGAGAGAAATGGCAAAAGGCGCAACAAGATCACTTACTGTAAGAACTATTGAGAATAGCACAATAACTGTACCCTGGCTGCATGGCACATAAGCTCAGATTAGTACTGAGACTAGGGTTCCAGTCGAGGAAATCGGCCGTTGTAACTTCATTCAGCCACGCAACCCACTTGCAAGAGTTGAGGTTATATGTGGTGTTGTCATAGTTGGCGTATCGTTGGCAGTTAGTAAGCGTGTCCGGGGCCGTAGGGAGATATGTTGGCGTGTAGACGAACCCCGGATCACTGGTCGCCGTGGGAATTGATGTATCGACGGCGGGGAAGCTGGCTGTTGTCACAGTGAACAAGGGCGTTGTGACTGGGTAGCCAGAGTAGGTGCTAATGTCTCCAACTGCGGCGATACAGTAAGCCTCCCCGAGCTCGAGGTTGGTGCAATTGGCGTCAATCTCTGGGTTGAGAAAGTAGAAGTCCACAAGGGAGAGGGCATTGGCGACAGTGACCAGACTGCAACTATCTCCTTCTCCAACCTGTGTATCATGTTAAAAATATTGCTGTGGATCTAATATTTGTCGGAATCCCGAGGGGCAAAACTTACTGTATACCACAGACCACAATCTGTGGTAGATCCTTTCAGGGCGTTGGTGGGCGCAGGGACAGCGGAGGTGATACTTGTTGGATCCTGTACTGTGGAATTGCCTGACATGTCGGCGGTATGATTAAGATAGCCTCCAGGAGGACTAAACGTTGGGATCGTAATTAGCATACCGTGGCCTGGTAGATAGAGGGCAAGAAGAGAACCAGAGATTGAACTCACCCGACGCAAACCACATAGTCAATATAATTGACGGCGTTCTGGCACAAAGCATTGAAGTTGGGGTTCCAGGCCAGGAATTGCGGAATAGTGACATTGGACAAGCCACCGACCACACTGTCACAGGTGTCGGTCGCCTGCCACACGTGGGTATCACATTGCGGTGGGATACACAGACTCGAGTTGACCGCTGTTGAAGCCCAATTCAGGCAATAGAGATCCAAGTTATTCAGGTAGAGTAGACTGTACGTAGACACGTTGAGAGCCTGAGCTACCGAGTTGCAGGTATCCTCTACTTGTACTTCATAAGAACCTGTGCAGCTCGATGCCGGAGTTGTTGTCACAGTCGCCGGTTCAGATGTGGCTGTGGCGTTTAGTGCGTATTGTGTCGGAGTGGCATAGGTGTACGTGGTCGCATTGCAGCTGGATGTCAGCGATGCGTAGTTCACAGCCACAACGCTATCATATCCGAAGGGACTGTTCAGTTCCAGCGCAAGCCCTCCTAGCCAGCAGTCGGAGCACAGCTGGCTAGTATTGAGAGACTGATTGGACCACGAGGCCACGAGGGGATCGCAGTATTCACCCGTGGTGCTGTCTTTTCGACAGGACAGCTCGTACGTGAATAGATAGTTATCCACTATGAATGTAGCCGGGTATGCCACGTTCTCGACAACGATGATATCTGTGTCGAGGGTACAAGCGGCCGCGATGACGCTTCTGGCAGCCTCCAGAGAGCCATAGCAGTCATCAACGCACACATCTTCGATCTGATCCGCTGTCACGACGTCATTGCTGAGGGAAAATTAGCACTTTGTGTGATAAGTCCATACACAGTTTCTCATCTATGGAGAGCATATACACGTAGGATCATAAATCAACGTACTTTTGCGAGACAACACCCAGATACGGAGAGCATGTCACATTTGTTGCCAATGCCTGCTGGCAGTCTGTACTCAGGCCTGTATAGTTGGTGAACATCTGGGTACCAGTGAATTGCTGCGCCCGGGACAGAGACAGGAGAACCGCCAGGGCAGCCAACAGCGCCACCATCCGCAATGTTGCCATTGCGATATGCCAGTCGAAGCTCTATCAAAGGCGAAAAGCAAAAGCTAAGGCCTTGGAAAAAAGCACTTTTTTGCTCAAGGTGGGCGAGGCAGTAATACTACTATTTAGCCAGCCGGGTCACATACTTCTCAGGTCGTCCGAGTGGCGCACCAACGGAAATTGCACGCAGTGGGGCCATCTCAAATAACCCACATTGTCACTTCAATGCATAATGGGTCCAGCAAGACCGGAGACGACTCCTGCAAGAAGGATAGGGATCGGACCATGGAAGAGTTTGCGGTGGCCCTTATGGCCCCGGGTGGCGTACTAGTTTTTTTTAGCTCGTTCTAAGCGGCTCGGGGGGAATATCCAAAATTTAGAAATTTGCCCTATGGACCCTGTCGGTATACTTCTGAAAGCGGGTCTGTTGAAACTTCAGTTCATTTTGAAACTCTCGTTCATGCAGCTAGTACGTGAGCTATTTGCATGATATGAGGGATTAATCTTATTCAGTGGCGTGGATAAAGATCCGTGTTAAAAGTTGAAGCTCTCGAGCAGCCCTTATTTGAACTAAGCTAGATATATTCTAGCGTGGTTTTTAGTCGCCTTTCAGCCGTCCCTTTCAATATTCAACGCTGCCTAACCTGGTACTGTAGGATCCGTACAGTACCACTTATTACTAGCAACCCATATAGTTCGAACTTCGGATTTAATTGTCACTTGAACTTGTATGTCACATGACGCGAGGGCTCAGGATTGTTACTTCAGGTTGAATATCGTTTCCACCACGTCGCATTTTTGCTCTTTATCCTCCTATTTCCTTGGGGCCAAGGCTTCCGAACACTAGTCAGCTCAGGGACTGAGACATGGTACCCACCGGATTCATGCTACACGCGCTAGTATTCCAGCGCTAAGGGTAGCGGATGTCTCGGAAGCTAGCGGCACTGAAGGGGCCAAAACCTCACAATGTGATTGAGAGAAAACCCTTAAGGTCCCGTGAAAGGGGTTTTTCTAGACCCGGCTAAAACTTCCTACCAGAAGCTAGTGGCACTGAAGTGGCCAAAACCTCACAATGTGATTGAGAGAAAATCCTTCAGGTCCCGTGAAAGGGTTTTTCTTTAGAAGCGGAGTGACTATGAAGAGAGACCGATATGCACGTATACTAGTGTGTATCTAATATCCGCAAAGCCAAACCCGATCAGGTATAGTCAGGTCTTAGAAGTTTAGGGGACCTTCGTTCTAGTCTATAATAGGACTTCCCCTGGCTCGGGGCGTGGAAATCGGTGGCGTTCCTAGCCTCGTTTACCACCTCTGCTAACAGAGTGGACCTAGTCACTGTGCCCTCAGAGCCTTTAGACCGATGGACTCTTGATGAAACTCGGAGGTATAGTGAACTTATATGCCAAGCTAAGAAAATGTGTACGGAAGCAGTCGAATTAGATAAATTGTGCGCGCTAGCACCAACTATGACATGGTGGCACACGAGATGGGGTTAAGAAGCTTCTGCTCTTCCTCGGATTTTTCTTTTACTCAATTGCGGTCTTTCCTTTATCTCATTCAGACTCTCATTTATTTGCGGGCTAGCTCCCCTTAACGGCGTGGCTATGGAGGCTCTTATTGCAAGGCCACCTACAAGGCTGTTTGAAGCCGCTCTGACGGTGTTCTTGCTCGTCTGTGTCTTTGCCGCCGTTGCAGATGCCTCCCATGGACATTCGCTCCATGAGAGACATCATAAATGGCATTCACAGGCGAAGCCTGCGGCTAACCTCCTCCGACGCGATGCTTATGCGTGTGACGCGAACACCCCATGCAGCAACGGCGCATGCTGCGGAGCTGGTGGCTACTGTGGTTATGGACCTACGTACTGTGGCACTGGCTGCGTGTCGAACTGCGATGCCACCGCCGAGTGTGGTCAGTATGCTAGTACAGTCAACCAAACTTGCCCTTTGAATGTGTGCTGCAGTCAGTATGGATTTGTCAGTACCTCTAAGATCTGCAACATAACAAGTGAGCCCGAGGCTGACTGTAACTAGTGTGGTACCACGGAAGACTTTTGTGACTGTATGTATCCCCATCTGTATACGGCAAACCTACTGGAAGCTAATTATGTGATCAGTGGACTGCCAGAGCAACTGTGTTCTCAATCCAAAGCCCCCAGCTGGTGCTGCATCGTTGAGCGTTCTTGAAAATAAAGTCATTGGCTACTATGAATCCTGGATGGCTCGCAAGGAATGTCACAAAGTGGCTCCTACCGACCTGCCCTTGGATGCCCTCACACAGTGAGTCTTGAAAAACATCTCCTGCTGAAAAAGCGTGAAATATTGAAACGACAGAAAGAAAACAATCTAACAGAATGATGATAGTCTCAACTTTGCATTTGCGTCCATCGATCCTGACTCGTACACGATTGTGACCATGGACAGTGACACCCCGTCTAGTCTGTTCAAAGACGCAACGAATGTCAAATCGATCAAATCTGACATGAAGGTCTTCATCAGTGTGGGTGGCTGGACATTCTCCGATAACGGCACGGCCACCCAGCCGCTGTACGGCGAAATTGCTGCGTCGGCCACCAAGAGACAGACATTTGCTGACAACGTCGTCCACTTCCTTAAGCAGTACGGATTTGACGGCTTGGACATTGACTGGGAATACCCAGGCGCCGGTGACCGAGGTGGAAGTGCCGAAGACACAGCCAACTATGTGCTCCTGCTACAGACGCTGCGCAGGACCTTCGACGCTAGCGGTAACGACTTTGGTCTGACATTTACGGCCCCGTCCTCCTACTGGTATCTGCGTTGGTTTGACTTGCCAAGCATGGTCAAGTACGCTGACTGGATTAATCTGATGACCTATGATCTGCACGGGGTCTGGGATAGCACCGATCCCATTGGCAGTATTGTGCAAGCTCATACAAACCTGACAGAAATTAAGCAGTCTGCCGAGCTATTCTGGCGTGTAAATATTCCCCCAGAGAAGCTTGTCATGGGCTTTGGCTTCTATGGACGCTCCTTCACGCTTGCGGACAAGTCGTGCACGAAACCTGGTTGTCCATTCAAGGGTGCCTCAAGTCCAGGCCCCTGCTCCGATACTGGTGGCATCTTGGCTTACTATGAGATCCAAGCGATCTTAGATGGCACTAGTTCCTCTAAGCGATCAACCATCACGCCAATTCATGACAAGAAAGATGCAGTCAATTATTTCACATTCGACGACGATCAGTGGGTTTCTTATGATGATGAGACAACTTTTGCCCAAAAGGTGACGTGGGCCAACGAGGTTGGTCTTGGAGGCGCCATGATCTGGGCTTCAGATCTGGGTAAGATATAGCATCTGCGATGGAATATCCATTCCGCCAATAGTGAAGCATCACAGAACTAATTGGGAGCAGACGACGACAAATACACGGCCCACGCAGGTCTCACCAATAAAACTATCATGACGAACCCGACCTTGAAGACCATCGACAAAGCCTTGTCCGACCCCAAGTCCGTCATTCAAGACCTAGCCAGCTTCAACGGCCAGAACTGCTTCAAATACGAAGGTAAATGCGTCAACCTTAACGACAACAATGCCATGGCGGATGCTTGTGGCTCTGGATATACCGTTGTCGGGTGGGATGACGCTGGATGCGGCAAATCGAATTGTGTAGGCTCTTACTCGTTTCCTGTCACGTTGTTATCTCTTCCACTTACACATTTGCCTCCTATCAGCACTGTGGAAAGCCCATCTGCTGTCCGACGGGCTCCGCTCCAAAGAATTGCAACTGGCGTGGCGACAACACCGGTGATGCTGGCGTCTCATCAGACTGCAATGCGCAATGCAAATCGGGAGAAATCAACATCGCCGGCATTCGATCGTCATGGGGAGGTGGTTTTACCAATGATGGTAACACTGACAAGTGTGGCCGCGGATACAAGGTTTTCTGCTGCCCTGATCCTGAGTATGAAGAGGTCATTGACGGATGTGCCTACGCGGGCTGGTAAGTCCCATCTACATGAACCTGAGAGGGATACTTCGAACGCTCAGAAACAAAGACTGACTAGCAAACTATGGTAAATCAACAGCGGCAAAGATTGCCCTAGTGAAAGCACAGAGATGTTTAATAAGTTCGACACTTGCGGGTACGAGGGTCAAAAATACTGCTGTACGTCTCCAGCCGACTTGTCTGACTGCCATTGGGTCGGAGGAAGTTCTGGCCAGGACTGCGCAAATGCCAAGTGCGCCTCCACGGAGCTGGCTGTTGACCGTGCTAGTTACGGTGACTCGAGCTCCTCCTGCGACTGGAGCCGCCAGAAGGTCGCCTGCTGCACAGTCAAGAAGGCTGCACGGGAGCCAGCCAAGTGCGCTGCCGATCTGTGTACGCTGTTTCCAGGTTGGTGTCCAAGTAATAGCGATGAGACTTCTGTCAGCTACCGCAAGCGAGGCGAGCTCAACGTACTGGAGAAGCGTGGTGCCCGTGAAAAATACACTCTTATACTGGCCGGTGTGACTATCGAGGTCCTCGCCGCCGCATACCCGTCAATCGGAAGTCTCTTCACGATCGCCCGAGCCGCTCAAGTTCAACGATGGGCTTTTTGGAAGAACAAAGGCTACTGCAATAGCAGAGTTCTATCCGTGCTGTCTCTTCCGACTGGCGAGGTCGCCAAGGCCCTGTACGAAGGCTTGAACTCGGAGCACATCATCGATAGGCAAGTCATGAAAAAGTTCATTGAGGCTGTGATATCGGGAACTTTGACATCCGGTGCCCAGCCAGATGGTCTCTTGCCCATGTCGGCCACCTGGTGGGCAACTAAGTGGAGGGAGGCCAATCCGGCCCTTGCAGGTCTTCCTGCGGTGGGCAGTGATAACGGAGCCAAGCCATCGAGTCCCAATGACCGAATCATGGAAGCTTTCGGGTCGACATTCAACCCGTACCCACTACTGGCCACTGACGCTGAAATCAATGGGGTGAAGGCCAAACTCATGGGTCTCAAAGCTCCTTTTAAAATTAAAAATATTGAAAAATTGGCAAAGGCCGCTGTCAAGGCCGATACTGATGAGGCTGTGCAGGAGGTTCTGACAGCCCTTCAGAGCGTAAGGCCGCTTTTCCTTCCCCCTCCACCCAATCTTCTCTCGCTAACTGAATCTACCTAACAGGTGTTCGGCATGTTCGAGTACTTTGCCGACTATCGTGTCTCCAAGACGTATAACTGGGTTCTCCAAAGCGTCGGTCTGCAGATGGCCCAAGTCGAGTATGCTACCGGCGTTCAAGATCTGCAAAAATGGTGGTGGGCGTGGGCACCAGACTACTTCCAGACGGTAGAAAACTATTCCCAAGGTTGGGCCGTCGAAGCTATTCGGGCCGTTGCAGGAGCGTACGCCGCGGCTCGTGCCGATGGGCGGAATCTGAAGACGAATGATGCCGTCGCGGCGGTGCTCAGCGAATTCGAGAGCAAGATCCAGAAGATGAGCATGCCGAAGATCACGGCGACAGAGACTACCATCTCCGACTTGGACTCTCTAGACTAGACAAGCTTCTTGTAGATAAAGTGATCGAACTTGGTTTAGATGAGCAAAAGCCCAGCTACGTGCTCAAGAATCAAGAACAGCACACTTCGAGATCTAATAGGGAGGAGTTACGTTTCAACGTCTTGAAAGTCTTGATCTTGGCTTGGCTCTGAAATGGTAATTTACAATGGGAAATGTGCAGTTGACTTCCATAGTTATTCTAAAATCACAAGTATCCATACATAGCGAGCTCCATTGCCTGACAGGCTATCAATTGTATGGAACCATTTGTTACCTACATCAGTATATAAATCTAAGCTAAATGAATATGTTCGTTGCAAGTGAGTTCTTGGCGTCATTTCACCCAAAGCCTAATGTCGCAAACGAACCGCCTGGCGGCACCTACTTTCACGCCGTGCTTAACGAAGAAACCCGGGTCTTGATCCTTATAAATCTGTATGAGGTCGAGACAATTTTCGAGGGTCACATCGCGTGCTTTGTTGATGTTCTCCCTAAAAGCCTCGTTGCTTACCCGCGATTGCTGCTATTTAGTATACCTGTCTATAGCGATATCTAGTAGGCCGTCGACTATGATTAGTTTAATATAGCCGGGCCTGGTGGGTATACACTAAATAGTCATAAGAATTTCCCTAAGTCGATTTTCGGCCCCACACCATTAAATATATATATCTATAACCTAGTATGCCACACCACTATATATAATTTAAATTACATATAATTTAATATGCTTATTAAGAGAGATATCCCGCATATAGAAATCGCTTAATATTTTATATAATATCCACGAGCGTCCTTCACCGCCTTTAAACGTCTTGGCATGCTCTGAATTATACTATTAATCTTATCCTATGGAATTGCCCACTAAGCTTCTTTAATATACGCTTTAAAGAAGCTCTAATCGCTCTTAGACCTTCCTATATCTATTAACTCTAGATAGAGCTAGAAGAGCTTTAACTTTAACCACCCCTAGTAGGCTTCGGCAAATGGGGTGGGCCTGATGGGGTGGGGTGGGGTGGGCCCGAAAATGGGGCCCTATTTGCCTTTGGTATGGGCCTGGTTAAACCCATGGGCCCCCATTTGGGCCTATTTTGGTGGGTCTAAATTATATGTATTTTTCATAAAATATGCAGAAATATTGGTTTTGGAGGGGTAAATTACCACTTTAAATACCTTATATATTATATATAGATAATATAAAGTCGGCTTTTAAAGGTATGAACTCTATGGTTCTACCTTATTTTTTCAATTTTTTTTGTGATTTTTATATATAAAAGCAAGACCTATAAGCCACCCTAACACCCTAGTACCTATATAATTAAGAAAAGCACCCATAATTAACTAAAATCAGTAATACGCGTATTCTGCTTTATCCTGTCTCTGCCTAGCAGCTCTAGCCCTTCCAGAAACCCTAATTGAAGGTAATTCTCCATCATCTGACCTTTTATCTGAAGAATTTAACCTTTTATCTGAAGAATCTTCGGATAAATCCTCCCTTATCCTCTTCTGAGGCTGCTGAATTGGGCCTAGCTGCTCTTCCTCGCCTGAGCTATCTAGGTCTAGGTCCTCGATATCACTAATATCCTTGAGTATTACTCGAGTCTCCGAGTCCTTTGATCCTGCCTCCTCTTTAATCTTAAGAGCTTCTACTAGCTGACTAAGCTCTTCTGTATCCATATCGAACTTTATAGTGCGATTATATACCATAAGGTCTTTTATGGTAGAAGTGCTGAGCCTGCCACGCCGGTAGTGGCATATATCACGTGCTGTATTGAAGAGTCGCTCTACACCAGCACCAGTTGCTGGAATAGAGAAGAGATCTCGAGCTATCCGAGCTAGGGTGGGGTATTTGGTCTGATTATTCCGCCAGAAATTACAGGGTTCCTCGTTGATTGGCCCTAGTTAGGTTAGTAAAGGGTGGCTAGGGTAGGATATAGATATATAGTCTATATAGATATAGAGTCTCTATAATATAGAGTCTATATCTATAGATATATATCTATATATAATATATAGACCTGACCTACCAGCTTGAAGGTAATCTCCTAGCTCATCTGCTTGTGTAGGCAATATACTAGCTTTTGAAGGCATCATAGACTGGACTGCCAGCTCTATAGCGGTATATCTCCGGGCTTGTGGACTCGAGATCGGGTCATCTTGCTGATAAGATCTAATCAGATCCTGTAAGCTTGATCTATAGACCTCGGTATAATCAACCGTCTCATCTTCCCACTCTTCAGATTGAAAGAATTGAAGCTTATATTGCGGGGTAAGGATCGTTCCATGGGCATATATGCTGCCTAGAGCTGGGTCTATAGTCTGAGAGTAATACTCTCGAAGCTTAGATTCAGCTACTTGTAGAGCTTCAAGCATGTCTTGTTTCCATAGAAGCTAGGGTTATATAGTTAGTATAGGGTTATATAGGGTTATATAGGGTTATATAGGGTTATATAGGGTTATATAAGCTTATATAACCTATATATAAGCTTATAAAAGTTAAACATACCTTCTTTTGCTGAAGCTTAGTGATAGAAGACTCGATATGCTGGAACAAGGCATTATAGACGTTGAAAACACTATATATAGTGATATCCTTTGTCTTACATAATGCGGTGGTAAACATAAAGAAAGGCTTTGTAATATGCAAAAGATAGGTGATTTGACGCCATTCATCTGATCTTATACGCATTTTACCCCAGAATAGCTTATAATAGCTATCTAGAGCTGGTTTGATCCGAAGAGCTCTCTCTAGCATCAGAAAGGTCGAGTTCTAGCGAGTCTGGACGTCTTGGATAGGATATAATGGGTCTTTCATCCCATCTTTTAATTGCTCTGCCCAGAAATAAGCCCGTCTTTGTGGGCTTGCATTGATATAGACCGCTAGATTCCGCACCTTCTGGAGCGTACGAGCAATACCAGTCATCTGGCTGATCTTATGCTTTTGGAGATCTTTAGACCAAACCAGCTCGATATTATCGTTTTTAGGGTCAACCCTAATCTTTCCATGCAGCTGCTTCAAGGATAGCTGGATCATATATGCTATGTAAGGAACTCGAGGGATCGAGGTCTCTGGATAAGCTTCTTGAAGAAGTTCTTGAAGAGATGAGATTAAAGTCTTGTTATTCGAGGTATTATCTGTGGTAATAGCTATGATCCGGTCTGATATCTTATGCTTTTCTAGTATCTAGTGAAGGATATATGTAAGGTTGGCGCCTATATATAGAGAAATTAGTATAAAGATATATAATATAGAGTATATGGAGCTATATGATATAGAGATATATCATATAGAGCATATAGAGCTATATGATATAGAGATATATGATATAGGGTGCCTAGGGTTAGACTTACCTGAATGGGGGCCATCTAGGGGTTTAAACCCTAGTAGGACCTCCCTATAGTGCTAGTCTAGGTCTAGGAAATAGCCTGTGATAGCTAGATAAGCTTAGGAGTATGGAGATGTCCAGCAATCTAGGGCAATTAAGAGCTTAGAACCTTCTGGAAGCGTGCTTAAAGCGGTTATTTGTTGATTCAAGCTTTCATCTCTTAGGCGACGAGATAAGGTTCGAGGGGAAGGGATAGATGGGACTAAAGCAAGCTAGGCCGTTCCTTCTATAAAGGCCTTAAATTGCTGACTGTTCAAAATATTGAAAGGCAGGTGGTGGGTAGTAAAGAAGTTTATAAGCAGCTTGAACCATACTTCATAGGTTATATGCTGCTTTGATTGAATTGCCTAGGTAGGGTTAGTATATAATATATATATTATATAGATATATAGATATATAGATATATAGATATATATATATATATAAGGTAGTGGGGTAGTGGGGTAGTGGGGTAGTAAGCTTACTATAGTAAAGGCAAAGCTACTCTGAATTAAAGTCTGGCTAGGGTTAATAACCCTAGACTTATAGAATTTCTTAATATAGCGACGAATAGTGGAGGTTCTATTAATAGAGCTTCTACTATTACTCTAATTAGGGTGATTGAATAGTATATTATATACTATATAGCGTACTTTTAGTAGTCTAGTCTGAACTTTAGTAACCTGCTCAATATGGGACCAAATATTCGAACTTCCTTATTTAGCCTAGTTTAAAGCTGGTTTAATAACCTTTAATCTATTTAGGGTTGTTTTCCACTATTTTAGGAAGGCTAGATGGTTTAATTGGGACTATATAGCATGATTTCCTACTTTAGGTATAGAAAACTATAGAATTCCACTAGGTAGGGCACCTAGGGTGGATAGGTCACTTAGGGTGGGTAGGGTGCTTTGGGTAGGGTAGAATGTTGATATTGAATTAGATGGAGTAATTGGATCGCTCTAGAGAGGGTTTGGAAACCCTAATTCTGATATGCTGGGTATATAGAGCTAAGAGAGAGCTAAGATGGAAGGATTTTTGAAGATATTACCTTCTAGAACCCGATTGGCTAGATATTATATGCGGGTCTAATCCTATAACCTTAATTAGATACTACCATAGTGGCCTTACCCGCGCGCTATATAATCAGGAACACCAGTTTGATCAACTAGTATTTCTATAGAATTCTTACCTAAACTAGTTAAAATAGAGCTTTTAAGCTTATATATAAGGTTATTACCTTATTATATAGCTTATTCTTTGTTTAAATTATATATATAAAGGGTGGTTAGGGCGGAGACCTAGATATGTGGTTGGTAAGGTAGTGAAGCTATACCTTCTATATATATATATCTCCCCCTATTAGCGTAGTAAATCAACCACTTTAAAAATTACTACCCTATATTATACCCAGCTACCCTAAATATAGGGTAATATAGGGTAATATAGTATAATAAGCTTATATTAAGCTATATTACATATAATTATAATAGGTATAGTAGAATATAGGAGGAAAAGTGGTTGCTATATATATATAGACTAGAACAGACGTAATTAAAAAGAAAGTCTTAGTAAAGAATATGCAAAATCAGGTAAGAATAGGCAGAAATCAGGCCAAATTCAGGCTAAATCAGGCCAAATAAGGCATCCACGCTAAACCTCGTGAAAATGGGCCCAAAAATGGGGCCCTATGGATCCCCATGGATTTTGAAAAATTTTATGGGTTGGGGTGGGCCCTGGAGTTGAGTCATGGGCCGGGCCCATGCTAAAGCCTACTTAGATATATAAGCTAGAAGAGCGAGGAAATAGGCTAATAGGTTATATTAGAAAAGGTATTCTTCTATAGCTCTTAAACTATAATCACGCTAGCTTCTTATATATATTAATCCCTAAGAAATGAGGCTATAACTAGTTATGATTTATTTATATTATACTATAGAATTTCGAGCTTATTTATTAGATAAAAGGTAGTCCTAGTTATCTTAGTTATACTAGTTATCGCTATATTCTAAAGCCTTATAAAAGAACTCTTCCTCTAGTTCTAGAGGCGAGCTACTAATATAGAATATATCTCTATTAAAGATATCGCTAAAGTAGAGTCTATGGCTTAGTAGAAGTATCTCCTCTATAGGCGCTAGAGCTAGGGGATATAATAGAAGAATTTATAGATATATATACTATTCCTATACTAGCGGGTCTTAAATACTAAGCTATTCCCTAGCGCTCTAAAGTAGCTATATAGCTAGGTTAGTAGGAGCTAGAGCTAGAGCTAGAGCTAGAGATAGAGATCTGGCCTATATAACTTAGTTATTTTCTATATCGATCTAGGGCTCTTTAAAGCGGCGTTTCTTATACTATAGAAGATACTCTAGGTCTAAGATAGGGTCCTAGAGTCTCCGCTACTAAGAGCGAGAGTTCTAGGTATACTCTATAATAGTAAGGGCTATTTCTATAAGCTCTAGCTATGTAGATAAGCTCTTATCGCTAAAAGTAGAGGTTTTTAACTTATTCTTAGAGCCCTTAGGTTAACCCTAGGTCTTCTAGACTACTAGTTGACTAGTTAGTGGAGCTATATACTAGCTAGCGAGTGGAACTAGATACTAGCTGGTTAGCTAGCTGGATTAGAAGTTAAAGTGGTTCGCTAGAGCATAGACTAAGTCTTTAAGCCTAGCTTATAGCGTGAAATTGAACTCTAGGGCGCGCGCTAGAGCGTATGCTATAGCTAGAGCTTATACTAGAGCTCGTGCTAGAGCTTATACTAGAGCTAGAGCTAAAGTTAGAGCTAGAGCTAGAGCATATAGTATATAGAGATATAGAGGTATATAGTAATATAGTAGGTATTCTATATATATCTACTCTATCTTAGCCTTCGCTTCTCTCTTAACTAGATAATCTAAGCTTATAGGCTAGTAATTACCTAAGTAATTAGTATACTTAATTTAGATAATACCGCTATATATAGAAGGGCACTCCTAGATTAGGTGCTCTTCTATATAGTGACTATATATAAAGTTTCTATATAGATAGTATAATTAAATATACCCTAGTTTCTAGCACTTATAGTATAGCTTTATTCTACTATCTTAGTAGAAAAAGATAATAGAATAGACCTTAGAGTTATAGTATAGGCCTTAATTAATAGCTTAATTTACTATAACTAGACTATTAAACTCTATTACTACTAATACTTCGCGCTAGCTCTCGCTATATAGGTAGATAAGTTAGTTAAGATAGATAATCTCTACTTTTCTACCCTAATTTAATATATTCTACTACTAAATCTTACTAACTAAGCCTTCTTAAGTCTTAGGCGTAAGCTAGAAGCTCTAGATTAGTAATCTATATATAATAATACCCTATAATAGACTCTAGATCTATACTACTATACTAAATATATATAACTATCTCTTATAGTAAATATAGAGAAGCTTTATATCTATAGCTAAGTTAGCTAATAATAAGATATTACTAGATAGTAATATATAAGTAATAAGAAATTCTATATTACTAGCTAGTATAGTAGAGGTCTTTAAGCGCGCCTACTATATATATAGATACTCTACTTCCTTTATAATTACTTTAGCTTCTATCTACCTAATCTTATCCCTTTATACTAGGTCTATCTTAATTATAATAGATTAATCCTTATAGAGTTCTACCTTACTTATATCTAGTAATACTATATTATTACTTTAGTTAATAGAGAGATTAGCGAAGACTATCTAGTACTACTAGGCGCCTATCTAGAACGCTTTCTAGTGGTCTATTAAGGATAGGGTTAAAGTAGAAGTTACTAATAAGATTATTAACTTTTTAATACTATTAATTCTAGTATTTAAGCGCTATATATTAGCGATAATTACTTTAAGAGTAGAGATTACTTTTACTATCTCCCCCTAAATATCGCTAATATCCTACTTTATCTATATAATAAACTAGTGGACTATCTAGATATAGCGAGTAATATATAGGTCTTTCTTACTCTCTTCTAGGAAGTATAGGGCCTTATCTACTCCCTTAATAAGTTAATCTATACTAGTTATATTATTCTTATTAATTTTAGTTAGTCTTAGCGTTATAAATTTTTAGTTTTCCCTATATTCTATAGCTATAAAACTATAGTTTAGGCGTATAACTCTAATAGCTATTATCTTAACCTATAAAACTAATATTAAAATATAGCTATTAAAGTAATTAAGATTTTAAACTAGGTCTTAAAGCCCTAGGACCTCTAGATAGTAAGATATTTTAAGAATTTAATTTACTAAGAGATAGATATTTTTAATATTTAAGTAATTAGAAATCTCTTAGTCCTAACTTATAGAGCTTTTACTATATCTATTACTTTAATAAATAATAGAGATATTACTAGATTAGTAAGATAAGCTTATATTACTATTAAAAGATACTTAAATTATAGTTAAAGTGTTATCTTACTATTAATAATAACTCTAACTAAATTAAAAATTTATCTACTACTATAGAAGAGAAAATAGTAATTTAAGAACCCTATCTTTAAAATTATAATAGCTTATTAGTTAATAAAAGCCTATTAATTAGACTTATATCTTTACTTTAATTATAACTCTAGAACTATTAATAAAGAGAAAGAGAGATAAGCCTAAAGTAAGCTTAATTTAAGATTAAAATAATATTATAATAAATAAATTATCTATTCTACCTAAGCTATATAAATATAAATCTATCTTTTTAAAAGTAGATTTAAAGATATTACCTACTAATTAAGTAAGTAATTATTTAATTAATTTAATTAAAGATTCTAAGCCTCTATATAGGCCTATATATCTATTATCTTAGAATAAACTAAAATTACTTTAAGATTACTTAGTAGAAAATCTTAAAAATTAATAAATCTAATCTTTAAAAAGTCCTATAAGAGCTCCTATTCTTTTTATACTAAAGAAAGATAGAACTCTTTATTTATATATTAATTATAGAGATTTAAATAAGGTTTTAATAAAGAATTAATATCTATTATCTCTTATTTCTAAGATTCTAGATAGATTATTTAGCTTTTAATATTTTAGTAAAATTAATATATAAAATATATATTATTAAATTTAAATTAAAAATAGAGATAAATAGAAAATAGTATTTTAAATCTAATATAGTTATTTTAAATATATAGTTATATTATTTAGGTTAATAAATATATCTATTATATTTTAGAACTATATCTATACTATTTTATATAGGATTTTAGATAAATTCTATATTACTTATTTAGATAATATTCTTATATTCTTTAGAATAAGAAGTAAGTATATAAATTATATTAAGTAAGTATTATAGCGCTTATAAAAAGCTTAGTTATATACTAAGCTATTAAAGTATATATTCTATTAATCTA